GGAGTCCTCAAAAACGTAAGAATTTCAGTTTTACATTACTTTTATATAATATAAGCTATTTATTTACAGAAAAACAAAACACGATCGTGCTACGCAGGAGCAGTTGCAGCGTTTTGTCTCATTTGTCCGGGCTAATCCTGATATGGGGAAAGGAAAGAATAACCCGAAGTCGCCACAGAAAATGCAGTGCTTATGGAATCAGTTGGCGGACGAGTTGAATGCATTGAGGGGACCAACACGCACCGCAGTAAAGTGGAAAGAGGTAATTTATTTTATCTCAGTTATTTTATGCTTATACATGTATGTATATGAATGTATGTACATACATATGTACATTAATATATATGAATGGATATCGTTGTTTAATGTTGCCATAATTTTAGACCCTCGGAGTTTGGAAGAGCCAATTGCGTACGCGAGCACGCAGATTAAAAATGAGTCAAAGGATTACTGGTGGCGGTCCAGGTTGCAAACAGCTGAGCGAATTTGAAGAGCGTGCTTTGGCCACTTTTGGTTCGGCTGCAGTTGGTGGCGTAGGTGTTGAAAGTTTTGGGCTAAGGCCATCAATGTCTGAAGAGTTATTGGTGGAGTGCCCCGCGTCTACATTGGCGAGTACATTGCCGATTCCGGCACCACAGAGCCCAGCACTGTTATTGAACCCTTCACCATCGCCGGCCGTTGCACCGATATCAATCATTGTGCCATCGCAAAGCGTTTTACCACTGTTGAGTCCCACATCATCGCCGACCACCGCACCGATATCAAGCATTGCAACATCACAAAGCGTTTTACCACTGTTGAGTCCCACATCATCGCTGACCACCGCACCGATATCAAGCATTGCAACATCGCCGAGCGCTACACAGTTATCGAGTTCTTTACCATCGCCGCATGCATCAACGTTGTTTGACGTGGAAATTCCAATAACTTCAAAATTGTTTTTGCGTATACTATTTTTTAATTAGCTTTATTTATTAAAGAATGATACCCTGTTGGATGTCGGCTCATCGCGTCCATCACGTGGGGAACGAAAAAAACTTATGAATGCCCTCATTGCTAATATAGCAAAAAGAGGTACCATCGAAGAACAGAGGCAACGTCGCGACGAGGAACAACGCCAGGAGCACCTTGAAACGATGCAGGCTATCAAAGGGCTAACGAGCTGTGTGGCTGAGCTAATACAGGTTTTGAAACCAAATTAAATAAACTTGCCAAACAAGTTTTAACTAGTGCTGAAATCTACTTAAAGTACCTGCCAAAATTGTTGATGTTAATTTTTATTTGGCAATGTTTTATAAAAATATACAGTGACCAAACAATATTGTACAGGGATGTGCCTAATATGTTCATAATGTTTTGAATTAGGAATTTTATTCGGCATTTTTTTATAAAAGTATG